GCTGTAATGAGGTCAGGAGCTGTGTGGCCCTGGCAGAACCCAAACTGGGCGTCACTGAGCAGGTTATTGCTGAGGCGGTGCTGCTTGATAGCACTGTTGATGACAGCTTCCATCACTTTACTGATGATCGAGTGGAGACTGATGGGGCGGTAAATGGCCGGGTTGGGTTTGTCCTGCTTTTTGTGTACAGGACATACTTGGGCAATTTTCCACATTGCTGCACAGATGCCAGTGTTGTAACTGTACTGGAACAGCTTGGCTAGGGGAGCAGCAAGTTCTGGAGCACAAGTCTTTAGTACTATTGCTGAATTGTTGTCAGGGCCCGTAGCCTTTGCAGCATCCAGTGTCTCCAACCGTTTCTTGATATCACGTGGAGTGAATCGAATTGGCTGAAGAGTGGTATCTGTAATGCTGGGGACCACTGGAGGAGGCCGAGATGGATCATCCACTCAGCACTTCTGGCTGAAGATTGTTGCGAATGCTTCAGCCTTTTACAGTTGGTTCCATGATGTAACGGTTAGCACTCTGGACATTGAATCCAGCAATCCAAGTCTGAATCTCGATGGGACCTCTAATTGCTGTGTCCCAACAAGTTGTCTGGGGTGGCACGGTGGCTCAGTGGTTAGCACTGCTGCCTCACAACGTCAGGGACCGAGGTTCGATCCCACCCTCGGGCGACTGTCTGTGTGGAGTTTGCACATTCTCCCCGTGTCTGCGTGGGTTTCCTCCGGGTGCTCCGGTTTCCTCCCACAGTCCAAAGATGTGCAGGTTAGGTGGATTGGCCATGCTAAATTGCCCATAGTGTGGATATATAGATGAGGTGAGTTATAGGGGGATGGGTCTGGGTGGGAAGCTCTGAAAGTCAGTGTGGACTTGTTGGGCCAAAGGGCCTGTTTCCACACCGTAGGGGTTTCTGTGATTTGTCTCTCACCTCTCAACACAGACACCAGCTCTCTCTGTTTCATGCAGCCTGTCCACTCAGTGGCTCTCTCTCACCTCATCCTCACAAGCTACTAGGAATTTTGAATCAGCTGTGATCCTATTGAACGGTGGAGTGGGCTCAAGGGGCAGAATGGCCTACTCCTGTTCCTATTTCTTTTGGTTTCATGGTCTTTCTGTCCAAATGAAAGTAAAACACTGGAGATACTGAAAATCTGAAATAAAATACCCCTTTCTCCCCTTTGGTCACTCACTGGATTCTCCTCACCACCCTCCTCCTGCATTGCTACTAGCTGCTGTTCCATCCATCCTCTTCATATTCAGTCTCACCCTTTGTCACACTGCAGGAAAAGTTGCCCCCTGGCCTGCCATACTGGAATCTGATGAGCACCCTTGACTGAATGTGACAGTGCAGAACAATTGACACCCCTAGGCCTCACTAAGGACTGGACCCCTTTGACTTTCTCTCATGGTTGAAGCATATGCAGTGTGTTTGCTGCTTAAACTGCTGGCACGTGCTGTGAATGTGACAACCACGTAGCACACTGCCATGCAGCACCATGCCAACTCCCTTTATCGTTCAGTGCCTCACAATGTGACAAGCTGCCATTTCTGCCTATGGGCAGAGCAAACCACAGAGGCAGAGAATGACAGAGCCTTCAAGTAAGTTCAAAGTGAATGCACACTATGAAGGAAAGCTAAAATCCATAAGATGCATCAGGTGCCCATGCCTGAGATTCATGTGTCTCCCTGCAGTGCAAAGAAATGTGACAGTTACAGGCAGGTTAAAGGTGATTGTCACAATTTAACTGGGAAGAGTACATCAATAATCATGCCCACTGTTTCGCAAGCTGTCACTAAAGGTACAAATTCCAAATTAGACTTACAAAGATGACCAAATTGCCTGACTGATTGCTCTCAGGATAAAAGCAATTCACATGAGACTTTATCATTAACAGAAAATGGCTCTATTTATCATAACACACATTACTTTTGGCAGAGATAAAAAGAAAGTTTCAAATTACTACAATGCAGCTTAAATTATACCCCTTTAAAGTACAAAATATCTACACACTCATTTACCACTAAGGCAGACAGAAGTCAGATAGTTTGATACAAATATTATAGGTGGAAAAAAAGAATAGACAGGGACAATAACATTCTGAGGATCAAAAGTCCAGATTTCAAGGGTTATATTGTCTCAAATCTTTTTGATTTCAACAATGGTGACATGCTGGTGTGTGCAAAAATGATGGTTGTTTCTCACTGCAATATTTGGTGAGGGGAAAACCAGAAATTCTTTACTCAATGTCAAAACTCCATTTTTTCATCAATTCACCATATTTTCCCACATTTCTCACAATCAACCTTGCCACTGAAGGAAGTGGATATTGCATCCATGGTTTTAATTAGAGGTCATTGATTTGATCAAAGAGCTGAATTTTCTGACATACATCAGGGACCCAACTTTATGACTATATCAGGGTCCGCAGCCTATGCCCTGGCACAATTGTCTGATCATCGGACTCCTGGTAATTTGTTTTATTCATTTACAGGATGAGGGTATCACTGGCTAGGCTAGAATTTATTGCCCATCCCTAATTGCCCAGAGGGCAGTTAAGAGTCAACCACGTTGCTGTAGGTCTGGAGTCACATTGTAGGCCAGACCAGGTAAGGACAGCAATTTCCTTCCCCAAAGGACATAAATGAATCAGATGGATTTTTCCAACACTTGACAACAGATTCATGGTCATCATTAGATACTTAATTCCAGATATTTATTGAATTCAAATTCCACATCTGCCATGGTGGGATTGGAACCCAGGTCCCAAGAACATTACCTAGGTCTCTGGATTAACAGCAATAATATCACTCGGCCATCATCTCCCCGTGGGTCATCTCCATGCTTGTCACCATATTAAGAATGACAGAAAGGGTTGGGACGTGGGAAACATAGAAAATAGGAGCAGGAGTAGGCCATTTTTCCCTTCAAGCCTGCTCCACCATTCAATATGATCAGAGCTGATCACCCAGCTCAGTATCCTGTTCCTGCTTTACCGTACCCTTTGATCTCTTTGGCCTTAAGAACTGTATCTATCTCCTTCTTGGAAACATCTAGTATTTTGGCCTCAACCGCTTTTAGTGGCAGAGAATACAACAGGCTCCCCACTCTCTGCTGAGGAAATTTCTCCTTACCATAGTAACGCAATCAGAAGGGCACTTTGCAAATGGTGACCAAGAGAGGTCAGCGCTGCTGCGGTAGAGTGGCAGTCTCAAAAATGTTTAACATGGAAATGGCCTCAGATGCCTTCTGTAAATTTGATGATGAAGAGGCCCTGAGTGGTTTGGGGCTATCAGTTTGGAAAGGGCACCTTCTCCACAGGATTGCTTTGTGCCATGGCTGTGGCCTTTCATTATGGCAGCTCCTTCATTTGGTGCTTAGATCCTCAGACTCTAATGACCCACTGAAAGGCAAGTACCTTTGAGGAGCTTCCAATCTCCGCAGTCTGTCTCTGTCTTCAGGTAAAAGGTGATTCTAATCAACCTAAATCGCTCTATCGACTGCCTGCCTCTTCGAAACGGGCCATTTAGCAAAGAGCAAAGAACAGTGCAACACAGGAACAGGCCCTTCAGCCCAACAAGCGTGCCCTGACATATTATGCCGTTCTAAACTAAAAATATTTTGCCTCCATGCGGATCTATATCCCTCTGTTCCCTGCCTATTCATGTATCTGTCAAAATTCATCTTAAATGTTGCTATTGTATCTGCTTTCACTACCTCCTCTGGCAGCACATTCCAGACACTTACCACCCTCTGTGTAAAAAACCTGCCACTCACATCTCCTTTTAAACTTTCCCCCTTCTACCTGAAACCTCTTTTCATGCCTGTCATAATTTTGTAAACTTGCTTCAGGTTGTCCTCAGCCTCTGACATTCAAGTGAATACAAGTCAAGTTTGTCTAATCTCTCCTCATAACTAATAACTTCCAAACCAGGCAACATCCTGGTAAAGCATTTCTTCAAAGCCTCCACATCTTTCTGGAGCCACTTTGCTGTCACCCTGGGCAATTACCATGGAATTGGGATGGCACCAGCAGATTGTCTTGATGTGATTCATTTTCTCCTACTTTTCTGACCACCTGCCCCTCCCAACATCTCCTTACCCCTTCCAATGCCAAAGGCATGGCACCAGAAGAAATCAGTTCTATAAACCTCATTTTTTTCTATCTGTAAATGTTATCAGACCTGCTGGGATTTTTTTTTCATGTTTAACTTTCTGTACATATCATCACTGATGGTGCTCAATATAAATACTCTTCAAAGTGGGGACTGAATAACTGTACAGTTGAGCTAGATCACTGATTCCGAGCAGCATCCTTTTATGTTCGAAACGATTATAAGCTCTATTGAAGTACTTGACACATTCCATGACATGTGGTCTATCAGCAAAGTCTGAACAAATCCATCAACATCTACTTATTGGAAAAGAGAACAAACATCATCAAAAGTACAATTTCTAATTTATCCTGCTTCTGCAAGAAAAAAAATCTAACTGGATCTCTCCATATTATATCTATGGACAAAAACAATTTTTTTTTCCCTCCAAAGTTTTATTTACTCTGTGAGAACTACTGAAATAACTTCTTACATCTCTCTTTCCTGTAGTGATTTTATTATTACTTGCTACTGAACAGGTACTTGGGAGTCATTTATAATTGGGTTCAGAGCCTGCCTTCCCTCAATGTTTGTATGTTCTTGTATGTGAATGTTTACTAATGACCATTGGCTGTGATGTCCTGTCTGGCCAAATGGATGCTGCAGCCCATTTCCCAGACACAAGAAGGATATTGACTGGGTAAAGGATCCTATGGGTAGTTGACACCTGTGGAACCATGCCTCAGAATGATATCTTTAACAATAGGAGAGAACATTGAAGAGAGAAAAAGTACTTTGTCTCAAACTGGAGGCTGTGCACACAGATGATAAGTTGCCAATGTACTCGCACGTTATTTGGGACAAATGTTGGAACATTCTGACTCCCCTCTGTGTGTTTTGCACAGGTTATCATGCACCCTCTGAAGCCCAGGATGTCTATGGTTAAAGGAGTCATCTGTATCATTGTCATTTGGATCATGGCAACCTGCTTCTCCCTTCCACATGCGATCTACCAGAAGTTATTCAGAGTTGAATACAGGTGAGGCAGAAAGTGAAGCCAGCCGGGGAATATTTACTGTTTTTAGTTTATTACATTTTACATAGACACACTTAATCTTTAAATCTGGGTCAAGTTTTTTTTCAATATTTGATGAGGCAAAACTGTCAGACTTTGCGATCATTAGCCTGTGAAGCTAATTGTAACTTTCAGCACCTACACATATGTAGAATCTGCTGCCAGCAATTGCCTTCTCCCCCACTGGGTGTGCTGTTGATGAGACTGGCGACTGCAATCTTTAGAAATCACTGAATTGACAAGAACATCCCCTTTTTCATTGTAATATCACAATGCAAAAGCCTTGAAAAGTTATGTCTCTAATACATTTCTGTTGAGTTTTTCATGATGTACTACATTATAACTGATGTTGAATAATCTTCCGAGACCTGGAAAATCATTCTTTTAATTGTGTAATGTCAAAGTTTTCCATCATGATAAACATGCATAGTTCTTCAATGTAATTATTTGTTCTAAATGTGTTAAAGATGCTTCAAATTTTAATCTGTCTAACACAATCTGTTTATTTTGCTCTGTGTAAAATGGTTTAAATATGAAGTTAATTGGTGCATTCCACTTTCCGGAATTCTTCAATGTGGTTGACTACTCACTCTTCTCATAAACATCACTGTTCCTTGACACCTGATATTCACCCTGACTTTGTGCCAGAATTAAACCAGAATACTACATTACAGAGATTGTTACATCTTTGTGATCAATTCACTGTCCATAAAATCTGGGCCATAATCACCCTTGTTTTCATTATTGGTTACGTTCAAACAATGAATGGCGATAACCTGACCAAGGAAGTTGGTTTAATAGACATAAATGAAGAAGCACCATACCACTTAGATATACTTTGTTTTGTATAAGGATTTAAATATCAATATCTGCTGAATTTAACTCCTTATTTTCCTGAGTGACCTGTCAATACTTGATTTGATTTGATTTATTGCAGTCACATGTACCTAAGTACAGTGAAAACATTTGTTGTGTGTGCAGTACAGGCAGACCATGGCAAACAAGGACATAAAGATCACAGGGTGCTTAGACAGAGTGAACCAAACAAGGTTACAGATGCGCAGGAGGTGCACAAAGCAAGATCAACATTAACAAGATCAACGTTATTTGAAGTTAGAGAGGTCCATTTCTGTTGCTCTACTCAATGTGATAAAAAAAACTGTACAGACAAGAGATCCCAGATCTGATTCTCAGGGTTGTATCTTACATTCTTTTGGATAAGACTTAGTTGTTTGAGTTTTTTTTTGTGGGGTATCCATTGAGTTCTCTCATCATATTTTCCAAATGCGCCACATTAATTACCTACCTCGTCCCTGTGGTGTCCGTCATGTCCAATTCCAGCCCCAGCTTGCCACGGGTCATTCCCAAAACAACTCGCCACACAATGGATGTCCCAGAATTCATCAGCATCCCTTTGCAGCATCTTCAAAAGTCCATTGTGCATCTGGACAAGCACTGTCAGAATGAAGCTACCCTGCAATGCTCCTAATACTTTCTTTCCCCAGATGTGGCAATATTGAATCCCCAATTGAGAGATACGGCCTTCAGGGATGGTGTCTTGGTAAAGTATGTCAAGCACAGACTTTGATATCCATCAAGCAGCTTGGGCATGGTCAGTCAGCCACTTAAAGTGGTCAAGGACGGGTTCACCTATTCTATTGGGTGAGGAGTCCCATGTAGAATCATAGAGTCATACAGCATGGAAACACACCCTTTGGTCCAACAGGTCCACTTTGACCATGTTCCCAAACTAAATTGATTGATTGAATCACTAAATTGGTCCCACGTGCCTGCACTTGGCCCATCTCCCTCCAAACTTTTCCTATTCATGTACTATTCCAAATATCTTAAATGTTGTAACTGTACATGCATTCACCACTTCCTCTGGCAGTTCATTCCACATACTAAACACTCTCTGTAAAAAGGTTGCTCCTCATCGGCTTTTTAAATCTTTCTCCTCTCTCCTTAAAAATATGGCCCCTAGTTTTGAACTCCCCCACCTTGTGGAAAAGACCTTTGCTATTCACCTTAACAATGCCCCTCATGATTTTATGAACCTGTATAATGGGCTGCCACTCTTTCATCTTGGCTATTTCTGCCCCACTGTGAGCTCATTCTTCCAAGGATGAGAGAAAATGAGGAATTGAGTGGGATTAAAGTGGGTGCCACAGCTATTGGTGCTGATCAGGGAAAAGAGTTACTGTCTCCTGAGTGGGTTAAAAGGGATGGGGTTTGCAGAGGTTGACAGTGAGTGAAATAAATGTTCCCGGTAAGAGTAAGAAGGATAGGTCATGAGCCTTGGTGGAATTTGGGTCCAGTAGCAGAGACAGCGATTATGAAGTAGCAGAGAAGATGTTGTCATTTACCCTGGCCGTGCATAGAAGATCACTGAGAGCTGATGGCATTGCATTCTTGTCAGTCCAGGAGCAAGAGGACATCCCTTTCTCTGCACCACTTCATCCACCAGGGTCCTTCGCTCCCTGTCTGCAAAATGGAGCACGAATTTCCCAACCCTGTCACGATGAGGGCAAATGTCATGCGCGGTTCAGTGCAGCTCTGGAGTGACTGTGTTTGTCTGGGTGTGCAACAGCCTCTTAAAGATGACACTGTCCCCAGGGATATTGGTCTATTCCAGGATATCCCGACTGTTGTGAGTTCTTTAGGATACAGTGAGTAGTACAATTCAGGTGGGATCCAATGAGAGGGATGCCACAGGGACATAGTAAGGAGATAAAAAGGCAAGTTTGGTATAATAATGCCACAAAACAAGCCAGGCCTCACAGAGAGTAACACTGCAGTTAACGCGATAAAATTGACAGTTAGCCAAAACAAGGATACAAGATTCAGCTCAATATCTAAGACAGCAGTAAGTCACTTATTCATCTAACAAAGGCACATTTCAGTTGTCCTTCAGGCCACTGTGCCAGATTTCACAGTATCCTGGGCATCTTGTAATTCAGAAAACACACCACACCAGGTGAAAGGTCACAAGAATTGACATGAGCACCTAGTTAGAGAGGAAAGGATTTCAAAGGCAGGAAGAGCTCTCAGGTTTTCCAGTGCTGCTGCTGGAGGAGCTACTAATAGAAGTAAGATCAAGGAAGCAGTGAAAGAGGATGCCCCATCCATGAGTGGTCCAGGTACAATGGAAGGAGTTTACCAGGGGACTCACACTACCTCCACCGTCCCATATATTTTTGCTCACAGGTCTTTATTACCTATCATGTTGGTCACGTTAAATTAAGGCACAAGTTCCTATGTACATAAAGTGAGCATGATATAAAGCTAACTTATACCATTATCTGGCATGTCTTTGCAGTGAAAATAATTGGGTGAATGTAACAACTTTAACATGCATAAGAAATATCTGGAATCATGGAGGTATATTTTTCCCATCATAACATTATGCAGATTTCCTGACTTGAGTGTCAGGCAGAGCTGCATTAAGGAAGAATGTTATTAATGTTAGCCTGCACTAGAAAGCTAATCACTATGTTATAGATGCAGGCACCCATCCGAAAGCATGTGTAGAGTATGCCAATTCTTTTCTCCATGTATTTTCTCTCCAGTCAAACAAAATTGCCACATAAATAGGAACAGATGCAATTGGAGTATAATTTACATAAGTTATAGATATATATTACACACACAAAGTGTGTACTAATCTTCAATGCATTACCAATCCTTGGGAAACACAGAGGAGAAAATTGGGAAATAGGAAGAGAGCTTCAAGAACAAGTTGTTAAAGTTTGGGACACCATTCAGCACAGTGGGTTGTTGATATTTCTCAAATGATCCAAGTTTACCATAGTAATAAATTAAAACAAAAAATATTGCAACTCACAGGGTGGATTTGGCAGCATCTGTGGAGTGAAAAGCAGAGAGGCCAGATACTGCCAAATCTGTTGAGTATTTTCAGCATTTTCTGATTTTATTTCAGAAGTGTGAAATGCTACCTTCTGGTAGAAAGAACATGGAGGAACAATACACAATAAACAGTGCTATTTTAAAGGGTGTGGGGGAGCAGGTAGAACAATCAGTTAAAGCAATATACAGAATCCTTTATTTACAGAGGGAGTAGTAGTGCAAAGGGATACTGCTGAATTTGTATAAGCTGCTAGTTAGACATCAGCAGTACAGGGTGCCACACTTGTGAACAAACTGAACAACATGCAGAAAAGGTTTACAAGAATGGTTCCAGGGATCAGTAATTAAGATAGAATCTGGTGTTCTTTTCTTTATTGGTGAGGCCCATGTTCAAATCCCACTTGCTTCTAAGGTGTGCAAGAACATCTCTGATCAGACTAATTAGGGTCTCGTGGTGTCAAGCTCAAGTCAATTGCTGTCTTTTTATCAAGGACCGTCAATATCAGCTGAACTCTTGAACGCAACTCTATTGTCCATGTTTGGACCAAAGTTCTTATGAGGCCTGGGACTGAGTTGAATGTAAATTGAGTATTAGTAAGCAGAACATTGTTTTGTAAGTGTGGCCTGATAACAGTGTTTACAAAACCTTCTGTAACTTTGACATTTGAGAGAAAGCCAATGGGTCAGTAAATGGCCACATTGGCTTTGACCTGATTTTTTGTGTACAGAACAGACCTGGACAATTTTGCACATTGCCAGATTGATGCCTATGTTACAGCCATATTGGTAGCATTCCTGGAAAGCAAACATATGCACACATATGATTTGGAGAACAGAGAACAGATTTGGATTTGGCTAAATACCCTCTTTATTGTTATTGTGATCTAGGCTCACACGTAAACAAAACTAACTGGATGATGGCACCTAGTTCCCCAGAACTTGTACACCAACAAGGAATTAATGCTTTCAGATGAATAGTGGAGAGGACAGAATTTGAAAACAGATTTTACAGTGCTCTTAAGGTGACACACTGAAAATATTTTATTTTATATAGCACCTTTCACAATCTCTGGGCATCTCAAAGCACTGCACAACCAATTTTGCCCTTTTGAAGTGTTGTCAATATTGCAGAAAACATGCAGGCAAGTTAAACACAGGCAAGATATCACTAACAGCAATGAAATTAATTACCAGATTATCTATTTTAGATGTCATTTGAGGGGTAAATGTTGAACAAAGGTTTGGGAAAACTGCGCTGCTGTTCTTCAAATTGTACCACGATGACGGCCTGTACTCAACATTCCATCGAAAAGAAAGTATGGCCCCCCCCATCAGCCTAGGTTATTTTCTCAAGTGTCTACATTGGGAGCTGGACCTATAGCCTCTGAGTGAGAGTGCTGCCACTTTGCTAAGGCTGACACATGGCACTAGTTGACACTAATTGAACAGTGTTATGTAGAGTAATCAGTGAGTAGCTAACTAATCAAAGCTTAGAACAAAAGCTAAAAGCATAGTTGACAGCCCAGATTCTCATTTCCATTCAGCGGCATCCTGTGATCGTGTGAATAGAGATTTGAAGTCACATTGGTGTGAACATTCGTTGTGGACGGAAATTTATTTGAGATCAATGGGTTCAATCACCGTAGAATGGGTGGCTCATAAGATATCGCCATGTTTTGCTACTGCCTACTTCCTCACCTCTAAAGAACTCACTCATCTATTTTTTGTTCCAGGAAAGAAAAAGTGCGAAGTTTATGTCTCCACAATTTTCCGCAGCCAGCTGATCTATACTGGAAGTACACGGACTTGTCTACTTTCATTCTCCTGTATGTTTTGCCACTTCTGATTATAACTGTAGCCTACACGACAGTGGCAAAGAAGCTGTGGTTGAGGAATGCCATTGGAGACATCACTGTCGAGCAGTATTTTGCCCACAGACGGAAGAAAATAATGACCCTGAAGATGCTGATGCTCGTGGTGGTAGTGTTTGCTGTCTGTTGGTTTCCCCTCAACTGTTATGTTGTACTCATCTCCAGCAAGGCCATCAACACCAATAATGCCATATACTTTGCTTTCCATTGGTTCGCCATGAGTAGTACTTGCTACAACCCCTTCATCTATTGCTGGCTTAATGCAAATTTCCGAGGTGAACTTAAATCCTTGCTGGATATGTGCAAAAGGCGAAGGGTCACCCATGCACAACCCCCTCCCTGTATATCTCCTCCCTACAGGCAGGCGTGGATTGAAGACAGAAGCCAAAAGAGAGGCAATCAAGCTCAAAACTTGAGGTTTAACACCAACTCTGCAAGGACTGATCTTTCCGTTGTTGAACCTATTGTGACTGTAAGCTAATCTGGAAAGGGAGGACATTTTAAATGGTACATGTCAACAACTAGAGTATGTGCAAGATCTTCCAACCTTTAAAACATCGTTCTTCAGATGTAAGAATCTCTGGCCAAGCTGGCATTTAGTAGCCATCACTTGTTTTCCCTGAGTAGGTGGTGATGGTCTCACTATAGTGGTTTGATACAACCACATGGTAATGTCAGAGGTCAGACACATGGTAAAATCAGCGGCCTACCATCACTGAACAAAAGTAATCAGTTGGGATTTTATGACAATCCCACAACTTCATTCACACTTTTTATTGTTACAAGCATCCACCACTCTTCCCATGTTTTATTAAGGATCTGAATTCACATTCCTAAATTGGAGCTCATTACTAATCCAGGTTTCTGGATTATCTGACCAACAATTTCATCACTACACCATCCTACTCCTTTCTAATGAGAAATATACGACTAAGTTTGATAGGCATTTAAGAATGATCCAATCTCTCAGGAGATTTTGAGAAATGGTTGAAAAGTTGAAAATAAATTAAATTACTGTGTGTAGTTCGGAAAATATTGGTGTAATCTGGTGAAAATATATGCTTCATTGTTGGACCAGTGCATCTTGCTGAAACTGTATGTTGAGTGCTGTAAGCCTACTTATTGTTGCATTGCATCACTGCAGTTCTCACTAAGCAATCATATAAACAGCATATATTTAAATTGTTCAAAATTATTCTTAAAACTTTGTATCATGTTTTGTTGTGGTCATGTTACTTGGTCAAAAGAACAATTGTATACATGGACATTATGGACTCAGATCAGATTGTATAGCTAAGTGCACAAATTAATCAAATTATTTTGTTACTACCTGCCTCTGTGGCTACATGTACAAACAGGCATCAAGGATGCTTACTAATAACTTGTATCTCAGTATCAGTTTAATCTTAGAAATAATTTTCAGTTAATCTCTGGATCTTGGATTTAAATCTTGTAATTTATAGCCTTAAAGAAGAGATCTATTCCTTGTTTTGTTTACAAATGGTCATAATTAGCTTTAGAATGAGGAGGAAGGAAATCAAAATTTTACATAACTTTGATATTTACACCTTTACGTTAGAAATGTTTTCAAAACCTATGTTTTAAAAAATAGCAACGTTTATATTTCCAAAATCATTATTGTCACTGATTTATTTTGAGCATAAAAGACCCCAAACGAATGAGGGAGACTATTCAACTCATCCTTCCATTAAAAAAACCTACAACCTGCCATCCCAAACCAGTGGTGTTTGCAAATTTGACCATCTTAATGTTGTGATTTTGAACATTTAGATAAATGTGAAGCAGTGAAGGCCATAACAAGAATCCATGGGTTTTAATACATCAATAATTAAGGTGCCTATGATCCCATGCATATGCCGGAAGTCCAGGCACAGTGTCCTCTAGTTTTCATGACTTCCTCAAAAAAAGATCCAGAAATTTGTCTGGGAGAACCTGTACCTTCTATGAAAGTTGGCTGTGAAAGTTCACAAGCCAGGATGAAATATTGAGAGGCAAATCTGAGTTGGAATCCAGCAAGGACTTTATGTGTCTATCTCAACTGTAAATTACCAACCAGTGTTTTAGATCTGAAGGTAAAATCAACCTTAGTTTTCGTCTTCATAAAAAATTAATGCTCAAAATATATTTGCGCTAAAAAAGGTTTGACTATTTGTTGTTTTGGGCTTTCCAACATGGTTAAGCATGGCACTGAAACCGCAGTTTTGTCATTTGACTTCTCTGTAGTGTAACCTATATTACAATAAACACGAGACATTCTTATTTGAATCTTTAATCTCCATTAGCCCCATGTATGTTGAAATAACTTATGAAAGCTCAGAGCAACTGTTTTCTAATTGTTATAGCCACTAGGGACAAAGGAAACCCCAACTTAATCAATAGGACAGTAGAGTATTTATTGAAGCAAGAGAGAGAAAGAGGACATGGCAAAGGAAAGGATCCAAAACTCACTGGTGTAAAGATTGCAGAGAGTCATGACCCTCTCAATAAAGACATTTCTCCTCAGTCCCAAATAGTCAATCTCTTATCCAGAGATTGCAAAACCTTTGTTCTCCTCTCTCCAGCCAGGGAAACAGCGTCTCATCAATCTATTCAAGAGTTTTCTACATTTCAATAAGGTTGCGCTTCATCCCTATAAACTGCAGACAGTAGAGGTCCAGTCAACTCAATCACTCCTATAGTAAAGCGAAATGTGTTGTTTGCGGGCTCTACAGGTAGATTGTACCATACAAAGTACATAAGGTAGCAGAACAGAGTGCAGAATACATTGTTACAGCCGCAGACAAGATGCAGAGAGAGAGGTCAACATTAACATTTGAGAGGTCAATTCAAAAGTCTGATAACAGCAGGGAAGAAGCTGTTCTTGAATCTATTCGTACGTATATTCTCACCCATCAATAAAATTTGAAGGGAGATTCTCATAATATCATTACCATATCAAAGCATATGAGCTGAGGGTACAAACGACTCATCTTACCTGGGACCACTTGAAGCATGACATGCTGATGGAAGCAAGCTACTCTTGGTGACCAAATCACTTAATACTGGCCCAGACATTTCTTTGTCTGTAAATCAAATGTTTGAGTATAATAGTGAGCTATAATAAATGTTCTGTTGGATTCTTCATAACCACATTACCCACATCTTATTTTTATGCTAAGGGAAATGATATAAGCATTGCCTTAACAGATACAAATGCTCTACTGAAGACAAAACTCATATCAGTTCACACTACTGCAACTGTGCACTTACAGAGAAAATATGTACATTGGTTTTGACTTTGAAGAAGATGAGGGTGTGCCCTACAGATCAAAGCAAGCCAATGCTTCTGGCAGTTCTGCAATAATGTTTATCTAAACACTCATTGATTTTTTAAATTATCCTTGCAGTTGTTCATTCCTGTTCACCTATAAGAAACAGCTTCAATACTTGCTGACAACCTTGACATAAAGTTTCATTTTTGCTGTAGATTTAACAAGAACTGAATTAGTGCCAGTATGATGACAACTCTAAGCTCGGCTTATTGTTTCGCTCTCAAACTTCTTTCAACTTTCAAAACCATGGCGTTGGTTTGATGTTCTTTTGTTGTAGAGTTCTCTATGTCTTACTGGGAAATTGAGCTGCAGGTGCAGGGAGGAAGAATTGGGGATTTGAGGTATTATTGTTTCAGGGCACAGATGTGTCCACCATGACCCTGCAAAGTTGATGTCTTCATTGATATCACAAACTCTCGCTAAGGGCACAAACCTTACACAAACTCTCCAACAGTGACCTTTGGGTTTTCAGGATCTGTGTTTCTTCTCTCTTTTGATATTCTTTCATTGTGGGGAGTTAACAAGACATTAAGTATCTGACTCATTTCTACCTATTAGATGTACAACTGAATCTTTCAATTGGATTTCAGCCTATGACTCATCATTTACACAAACACATCTCAGATTTGATGAATTGTTACAAGTATTATTTATTACTGAGTATGAAACAGCTGAACAACATGCTTCCTTGTAATGAGTAAGTATAATGGGTATATTTAATGTGACTGGCAAGAGAAACAATGACAAAAAATAGGAACAATATTCTTATGCTGCAGATGGTTAGAATCTGGAATGCATTCCTTGAGAGTGTGGTGGACAGAGGTTCAGCTGTAGTTTTCAAAGGGAATTGGATAAGCAGCTGCAGATCAGAAACATGCTGGGCTATATGAAAGGAGAGAGAAAGGGGATGAACAGAGTTGCTTTTACATAGAGTTAGCAGGCACATGACAGGCTGAATGGCCTCCTCTGTTCTGTAGCTTTTTGCAGTCAGTCTCCATTTAAATAATATTCCGCTCCTCTATTCTTCCTGATAAAGTGCATATTGTGCTGGGTCCACTGCTTCTCGTCATTTATATAAATGATTTGGATGTGAACCTAGGAGATATGGTTAGTAAGTTTGCAGATGACACCAAAATTGGAGGTGTAGTGGACAGCAAAGTAGGTTACCTCAGAGTACAATGGGACCTTGATCTGATGGGCCAATGGACCAAGGAGTGGCAGATGGAGTTTAATTTAGATAAATGTGTGAGGTGCTGCATTTTGAAAAGGCAAATCGTGGCAGAACTTGTACACTTAATGGTAAGGTCCTGGGGACTGTTGCTGAACAAATAGACCTTGGAGTGCAGGTTCATAGTTCCTTGAAAGTAGAGTCACAAGTGGGTAGGATAGTGAAGAAGGCATTTGATATGTTTGCCTTTATTGGTCAGTGCATTGAGTATAGCAGTTCGGAGGTCATGTTGTGGCTGCACAGGACATTAGTTAGGCCACTTTTGGAATAGTGCATGCCATTCTCATCTCCCTGCTAAAGGAAGTATGTTGTGAACCTTGAAAGGGTTCAGAAAAGATTTACAAGAATGTTTCCAGGGTTGAAGGATTTGAGCTACAGGGAAAGGCTGAATTGGCTGGAGCTATTTTCCCTGGAGTGTCGGAGTCTGAGGGGTGACCTTATAGAGGTTTATAAAATTATGAGGGGCATGGATAGGGTGAATAGTCAAGGTGTTTTCTCAGGGTGAGGGACTCCGAAACTAGAGTGCATAAGTTTAAAGTGAGAGAGGAAAGATTTAAAAGGGACCTAAGGGGCAACTTTTTTCACACAGAGAGTGGTGCGTGTATGGAATGAGCTGCCAGATGAAGTGGTGGAGGCTGGTACAATTACAACATTTAAAAGGCATCTGGATAGGTATATGAATAGGAAGAGATTAGAAGGGTATGGGCCAAATGCTGCCAAATGGGACTAGATTTATTTAGGATATCTGGTTGGTGTGGACAAGTTGGACCGAAGGGTCTGTTTCCATGCTGTACAACTCTTGACTCACATTTCCCCACATTATATTCCACCAACCAAGTTTTTGTCAACTTACTTAACTTATCACAGCACAGTGGCTCAGTGGTTAGCAGTGCTATATCACAGCACCAGGGACCCAGGTTTGATTCCAGCCTCAGAAAACTGTCTGTGTGGAGTTTGCACATTTTCCTCATGTCTACGTGGGTTCCTCTGCGTGCTCTGGTTTCCTCGCAAAGTCCAAAGATCTGCAGGTTAGGTGGATTGACCGTGCTAAATTGCTCATAATGCGCAGGGATGTGCAGGCTAAGTGGATTAGCCATGACAGGGAAGGGGGTGTCAGTCTGAATGCTCTTCAGAGGGGCGGTGTGGACTTGATAGGCCAAATGGCCTCCTTCCACACTGTAGGGATTTTTTCTATACCTCTGCAGACTCTTTGTGTCACTCTCCTCACTTGGCCTTCCAGCTATTTTTGTGTCATCTACAAAGTTGGCTATAGTGCATTCACGTTCCTCCTCCAAGTCATTAATATGTATTGTATATAAGTCTGCCCCCAATACTGATCCCTGTGGCACACCACTAGTTACTTCTTGTCATTCTGAAATGCCTCCCTTATCTCAACTCTGTCTTCTATCAGTTATCCAATCATCTATCCATGCTAATACACTACCTGCACCAGCATTGGCTGTTAGCTTATTAAGTAGCCTAATCTGTGGCTCCTTGTGAGATGTCTTCTGAAAACCAAATATATTTTATCCACTGCTTCCCCGTAAGTATCTTGTTCGTTATCTCTTCAAGAATTCTAGTCAGGTATGATTTCCCTTCATGAAGCCATGTTAACTCTGCTTATCGTAATATATATCTCTAAATGCTCTACTATTACATCCTTTACATTTTCCCAACAACTGATGTTAAGCTCATTGGCCTGCAATTACCTGTTTTTTTATTTATCTCCTTTTTAAATACAGGTGTTAAATTGTCAGCCTTATCAATCCTCTGAGACTTTTCCAGAATCTACGTACTCCTGCAAAATATGTCTGCACCTTCTGTCTTTAATACCTTAGGATACATTCCATCAGATCTAGGGGGCTAATTTGTCTTTGATCCCATTAGTTATCCAGCACATTTTATTTATTGTATTTACTTCCTGTCCTCCTCTTACTCTTGAATATTCAGTAGGTTTTGGAATGCAGATGGTGTCTTTTACTGTGAAGACTGATGTAAAGTATCCATTCAACTCCTCTGCTATTTCCTGGTTTCCCCATTATTATTTCCCCAGTCTCATTCGCTATTGCTTCTTTGTCCCTTTTTATATAGTTAAAGAAGCTCTTGCTGTCCTTCTTGATATTACTTGTAAAGTTTATTTTCTCCCACCTCTTTCTGTGTTTTTTTTTGTTGTTTGTTTTGGAATTTTCCCAGCTCTGTAATTGCCATTAATCTTTGATGCATTGTATGTTTTTTTTGTCCAGCAAGCTAATGCTACCCTTAATTTCCCAGGTTAACCATGGTTCACTTATCCCCTGCCTAGAATCCTTCTTCCTCAATGCAATGTGTCCTTGTTGTGATCTATGAAAGATTTCCTTAAAAGTCTGCTATTGTTTCTCAATGTCTTTGCTGCTAAACTGCTTCACTAGTCCATCCAGCTGTACCCTCCTTTTGTTGTAATTGCACCTATTTAAGCTTAGCACAGTTGTTTCCAATCCAAGTGCCTCCCTCTCAAACCGAACGCTATGTTCTGCCATGCTGGTCACTGTTTATCAAGGAATCTTTGACTCTAATACATAATTTTTAAACCTACCGCATTACACATCACTAGATCCAAAATAGCCTGATCCCTGGTTAGATGCACGCATGTAGAGAGCTTTGGGGGCAGGGTCCTTGTGTAGATAT